TCTCTCTCTCTCTCTCTCTCTCTCTCTCTCTCTCTCTCTCTCTCTCTCTCTCTCTCTCTCTCTCTTCATCGCTCTATCTCTAACCGAATAGTCTCCTCAGGGATCGTACTATCTGCTAGTTCGCAAGGACGAGAGGCATGGTGTCTACGTGGCGCGAGGATACGGGACCACGTGTAACTCCACAAGCAGAACAGGAAATGAGTGATCGGCACAACAAGCAGGCATAGTACGACAACATACACAGCCGCCCTCTTAGGTTCCTCTTCGTAATTTAGCGCAGTGTATATGTACGGCTGGCCCTTCTCGTTCCGACCACCAGCAGCCCAGAAGACGACAGAGAAAGCGCAATACGCAATCCCGGCTGCCAAAGGTTGATAGAAATGTAGGACTCGCATCGGGATCGCAGACAGCGCGACGTCAGCCAGTGTGATCAGGAAGTTCATACAATGGAGTTGAGTGTCGAGAGCATCGTAGGGTAAGGAATACAGGGCTGCCCACAGGGAGAAGAAAAAGAAGACTTCGAAAGTGCAAGTTGCTTGAACGTTCCGCAGCACCCAGATCATGCGATAGACCCAGGGGAGCTCGAGGAGCTTGTGGTGACTTGAGTCCTCTGCCACGTGCAGGCATCTGCTGCCATCTCCCTTCTCCTGCACACAATACCCGCCACAGCCACCATCTCCGCCGGGACCCCTGTTCTTCTCCTCGGCAGCGAACTGCTTGCGACACTCGTTTCCATCGCCACTCACATCCACATGCTGTCTGCAGCGAGCGTCCTCGTCCGAACACCCGTCAGAGTACCTTGGACCTTTGTCTAACGAACAAATTTGTGTCCGCTCCTTTACGTCCGCCACGTCTGCATGGAACCCGCCGTTCACGTCCGTCCCGTCTGCGGGCAACCTGCTATTCACGTCGGCCCCTTCTGCATGCAGCCTGCTTTTCACGTCGGCCCCGTCTGCGTGCAATCTGCTTTTTACGTCGGCCCTGTCTGCATGCAACCTGCTTTTCACGTCGGCCCCGTCTGCATGCAAACTGCCATTCGACTCGGCCACGTCTGCATGCAGCCTGCATCTACGGTGCGGTCCGGAAAGAGCATCAGTCTGAGAGTACTTAGGTCTATCTACTAAAACAATGTCTGATCCCTCACTGCCCACGTCGACGTGAATCCTGCATGCAGCGTGATTCGCTGAAAAATCGCCCAACGAATACGTGAAACCTCTGTTTAGCGAACAAGTTCTAGATTGCTCGTTCACCACGTCGACATGCAACCTGCAGCACGCGTGCCTCCGTGAAGACGTCCTGTCCGATACGTGCATGGGATCTGCAGCTAGCGAACCAGTTTCTGATCCATTATTGGCCACGTGGACGTGCTCCTCGTTGGCCACGTGGACGAGCCCCACGTTGGCCACGTGCACGAGCTCGGCGTTGGCCTCGTGAACGTGCCCCTCGTCGGCCACGTAGACGTGCCCGTTGTTGGCCACGTGAACAAGTCCTTCGTTGGCCACGTGGACACGTCCTTCGTCGACCACGTCGACATCTACCCTGCCGCTAGCCTCCTTTCCTGAAGAATGATGTGAGTACTTCGAATCTTTATCTAGAGAACCAGTTTGTGATCCGTCATCGGCCACAGAGGGTTCCAGGCGAGAAGGTCGCGCTGCTGACCGACAGGACGGATAAATCTCGAGGGTGAAAAGTAAGCAGACAACTGCAGAAAGAAGGAGGTAGATCGCCTCAAGCAGAGCAGACAAGCAAGTGAGATAGATCGGCCATTTTTCTCGCTGCGTCGGAACCTGGTCGTACATTGGACCGACGCCAAAAGCACGCAGGAGAATATCCGACAACAGCCACCCAGTCCAGTAGATGGCAAGGGAAAAACGCACAACGACGAACAGCCATTGGCCTCTTTTGTCGCTCCTCCCCCCCCCATACCAGTGGGCTGTAACGAACCGCTCCCACTGCTGCTCGTGCAACCCGACCTGACTGCGCCGAAACTCGCTCCGTAACCAAGTCCTCACACTCACAGGGACGCCAGGTAACTCGTCGTCAGATGGATCCCGGACCACCATCCTGAAAAATGACCTACTCGCTGCCAACGACGGGATCTCCACACTACCTCGGGCACCTCTCTCTCTCTCTCTTTCTCTCTCTCTCTCTCTCTCTCTCTCTCTCTCTCTCTCTCTCTCTCTCTCTCTGTGTGTGTGTGTGTGTGTGTATGTATGTATGTATGTATGTATGTATAGGTAT